TAATTTGTATAATTTCATTTTTATGTCGAGACTGTTACTATATTTTTGTAAAAACAAGGACCATTTTTATAATATCGATATTAGATAGGTACCATCTTTGTAATTTTGTTATTACACAAGGTCTATTTTTATAATTTTGCTACTATAAAAGACCATTTTTGTGATTTTATCTTATACATGGAATATTACTGTAATTTTATTTTACACATAGAATATTTATGTAAAATTTCTATTATAGAGGAACTATTCCTATACTTTTATATTGTAATGGGACCATTAACTAATTTGTATATAGGGACCATTTCTGTAATTTTGTCAAACTTAGGGACCAATACATAATTTCATAAGTATTACAAGAAAAAATGCCTCGTACCTATAAGGATCTATACAATGTATTTTCGATTTTAATTTTTACAAACTTTTGAATGGTCAAGTTCATGTGGTGTAGAATTCTTTTGGCAAATATCTTAGTTTCTACTCTTATACGCCACTGAACGCAAGTCAAACAATGTTGGATTGGGCTTCAATAATGACGAATCATTTTGGCCCAATAATGTGAAATAAGCTTTACTCTTTACTCTTTAGCCCAATAATAATAGAATTATATACAATTATACGTGGTCCTCGTGGGGATGGGGTTGCCCTTTTTTTTTTTTTAGGGTATAGCATTCGGATTAATATTCAATCGTGCTTTAGATCAGCTTGTTGTTAGGGAGTTGATTCCAAGGTGTTTTGTAAGATCAGCGTTTGGATTAACATTCAACATGTTTTAGATCAGCCTAGTTGCTAGGGAGTTGATCCAAAAAAGTTTTGTAAAATCAAGGTGGGAGATGGGAGATACACTCTATGTTTGTTCGATATTTGGATGTGAGATCGTCCTCTTAATGATCGATTTTCTAGAAATTTTGTATTGGATTTGCTGTGGATTCTTTGGTTTCACATCGAAATAGTGAGCTCAAATTATTTACTGCGTCTCGAAGGATGACGAAAGGGACAAAAGCTTCTCCTTAGGTGGCATTGCAGTTGGTTTTACATAATTTTTTTTTCTAGTGGATAGAGATCGGTTGATATGGTACTTAGATTGTTAATTATATCAATGCCAATTTGATCGTTTCTCAATGACAATAACATCAATTTCATATAAAGGTAAGAACTTTGGATCTAATGTTGATTGGAGTGAGATTTTTTTTGATGAAAATGATGTCATTGTTAACAAATCCTTGAAGCAATCGTATTCCCATTATGTTGCTATGCCTTGATGGAAAGACCATAAGAAAAATCATTTTGGTGTTTTAAGGATGAAAAAGAGAATCACCCGTCATGATTACTTGTGTGCATTCACACCAACTAAGGAAAATACACCACATTAAGATATTTATGGTTGTTACTTCCATCAAATAATACTTTATGGTTTAAACTCTAAATATATCAAAAACATAAAATATATTACATAAATGGTCGTAAAGCCATATTTATGTAGATGTTTTCTAACAACTTGACCAATATATCATTTCTCTGGCCAAACATGAACTTAAAACACTTTGTACACACACCATAGCAATAAGATACAGTGATACATGTTGTCAACAACACGAGAAATCCATCAATTATACAAAATATTAACATTATGACAAGCCAAATATCTTTATTCAATGTGGTGGATAACATATGGTTGTCTATAGAGTTAACATAAGTGCATGCAAATCATAATTACAAACAAAATTATGATTTACGAGGAAATTATAATCAAGTACTTGGTTCATAAGATTCAACATAATGAAGCACCATGCTAGAAAGTTACATTAGGTCATTACTTAAACCCATCTTGATGACATGATATTCAGATACTTTGGATAAAAGATCTTTAGTCATCGAATCCACTAGCATGTCATGAGTGCTAATATACTATATACAAAGATTGTCACGTTCTCATAAAATAAATAATTTATACCGAAATACAGTTTGGCCTCACTCGAACTATTACTGTACGAAAATCTTACGACTGCAAAACTATCGTAAAAAAAATTCAACGATCTTGAAATTGAGTTAACTATTATGAGTCTCATAATAAGATTCCTCAGTAGCATTCCATGACATGTTGCATTGTAGCTTGCAACATAGTCATTCATCATTGTTGAGGTTGTTGTTTATGATTCATCCATGAGATTGGCCAGCATGACATCATAAATATATATCCTGAGATAGTCCATTGAAGATATCATACGATCTTAACGAATTCCAATAATCTAGGCTACCATTAATTTGATATCTTCCTAGCAGGCCTGCTATGTAATCAATATGTGTACAAACTTGAGCATACATCTAGCTCCCACTTATTTTGAGGTATATGCATTAATCCACTTGATTATTTAATGAAATTGTTTTCCTTCATGACTTCATCTCACTTTAAGTACCATCGTGTACAAGCTAGCTTTGACAACCTTTGGTAACTGAACAAGTTCCCAAACATCAAAACCATTCATGGAATATAGCTTGCCAAAGTAAGAACTTACTTGGGAATCCAATTTTGATTGGAGCGAGATTTGATGATGAAGATGATGTCATTGTTAATGAATTCTTGAAGCAATCGTATTCCCATTATGTTGTTATTCCTTTATGGAAAGGCTACAAGAAAAATCATTAGGGTGTTTTAGAGACGAAAGAGAGAATCACCCTTCAGATTTCTTGTGTATATTCACATCAACTAAGAAAATACGCCACATTAAGATATTTATACTTGTTACTTTCATCAAGTAACATTTTATAAAACATAAGGTTATAAAGTGTAAATATACCATAAAAATAAAATATATTACAAAACTGGTCCCAAGGTCGTATTTATGTGGATATTTTCTAACATAGATAACTAAACTTACTTCTTTATGGACAAAGTTTTTCAGGATAACCCTTTATCCCTGGTATTCTTACCGGATGAAATAACTTTGTTCCTGTAGAAACTTAAACATTTTATTATGGCATATTGGTAGAAATAGAATATGTGGCTTAATCTGAGAGATAGACATTGATTTGGACTCAGTGTTTTTCCTCGTGTGCTCAAGTACTGGAAATATATAGCTCATATTTTAATTAAATGCCCTTTTAAACTCCTACATGGAATCAAATTTCGATTTGTTGGGAGATTACTTTACCTCCTACAACATCACTTTTGTCTTTCATTAGTTAGGCGAATTCAACCTCCTTATCTTTTATCAAGAAGAAGTTTTTTGATGTGGTAGTTTCAATTACGTTTTGGTTGTCGTGTTTAATCAATCTTATACCTGTTTATAATCCATTCAAATTATGTAGGTGTTTTCAATAACAAAATGGTAGTTCATAAGTATTATGCTAATTAAAGATGGCATTATGCAAATGACAGAACAGTTTATGCTTCATGCATAATATATTAACTTACCTTGTGTCACGTTATCTATTTTCTATATTATATTTTAAACTATAAAAGGTCTCGAGCTATTCTATATGTCTAATTAATCTTCTAACTTTTTAAATAAGCCATAGAAATTTAATGGATAGCATAATTACAAAGACTTTTTTTTGTTTAATGTGATAATGTACTCTTTTAATTTAGGGATAATGACTTATGAGGGTAACTACCTCTTATCCTTGTTCATATATTGACAACTTCTTCTTTTTTGTACACATAATGCCAACTAACTTATTTTACGTGTTCAATTTACACCAATATTACCGTCTAATGCCTGTTTTAGCTGATGTGGCTAAATCAAGGCTTGGGTGGCATACAAAAGATAATATGTGGCATCTATGTGGCATAGTACACACCAGTTCATCATATAAAGGGTGTTATATGGTTCGTTTGTACGTTAAAGCCCTAGATCGACAATGGCTACTTCTTCTGCTTCATCTGCCTCTTCCAAATGTAATGTCGACAAGTTGACCATCCATGTAAGTGTGACATGCCATCACATGTGAAGATTTCAAGAAAACTCGACAATCCCGCGAACAAAATTTCGAGTTTGTAAAAACTCTTTGGTAAATAAGTTTTTTTAATCATCCCTAACCGAATCTTCTTCTTCATCTTCTCTTCATATTAACCTTTTTTTTTATACTTTTCTTGAAGAGTGCAAGAACTCCAAAATGTAATTTCTGGGAATGCTTGGAAGAGGATGATTATGCAGTAAAGAAGAACAGTGATTTGGGACAAATCTACAACCTAACATTGAAGCTTGGAAATTTGGAAAATGAAATTAGTATATGCAGGAAGAAGTTGGAAGAAGGGAAGAACTCTGATTTGGTTTTTAAACAAGAACTGGACAAAGTCAAGTGGAAGTTGTTTACTCATAAAGTTGCATTATTTATGTTATTTTTATTGTATGTTAAAGATGTAGTTTTGAAAGTTTGATGTGTTCTTTGTATCCTATTTGATGTATTCTGAATAAATCATGTACTTCATGAAGTTTTGTATGCAATGAAAGTTGGACGTATTATGACTAAAGCATGTGTTTGACTTAATGTAACATTGATGTATCATGACTAAAGTTTGATATATAGTGAACTTGTGCAAACATCTAAGTAAACATGTAATGTATACAAACATCTAAGTAAACATGTACTTAAATAAAGATGTTAAAGTGCCTTACAATACAAAAGATTCCCAAACATACAAGACCCAAGATGTTAAAGTACGAAACATTCCAAAAGATGTGTCAAGTTTGTTACATTGTGCCAAAAGCTATTACAAGACCCAAGATTCCAAAACATGCATACCAAAAGTTGTTCAAAAATATAAACAAGACATTAAAATCAAATCTCCAGTGGGTGTTCATTACTGCTTCCCTCTTTCCTCCCTATGTTCTTCTCTAACATAATCTTTGTAATTCTTTTTGAAGTTTTTCTTGTCCTCTTCTTAACTTGAATTTATTCATTGTCTTGATTTCCTGTTCCACATCATCTTGAACCTCTTCTTGAATGTTAACTTGAATTTCATGTTCCACTTAATCTTGAACCTCTTCTTCAATGTTATCTTAAACAAAAGGAACTTCAATGCTAGCCTCCACTTCAGGTACTTCAATGTTAGCTTCCACATCAACTTCGGGAACTTCAATGTTAGCCTCCACATTAACTTCAGGAACTTTAATGTTAGCCTCCATTTCAGGTACCACATCACATGCAGCTTCCACTTTAATGTTAGCTTCCACATCACTTTCATTTTCAAAGTCATTATCACTTTCACTTTCAAACATAACTACACATTCCACTTCCAATTCAGCTTCAAGGTCTACTTGAACATCAACTTTACCTGTAAGAGGGAAAAAGTTCAAAAATGGCACACAAGTGTAATATATTAGATAAGTTAGCACCATACCTTATTTCTTAGGTTTCTTTTTTTTAAACATGAAGTAGATGGTACATCATTTGGTCTTTGAGGACATGTTGATCTGTTATTCCCTCTTTCCCTACAAATGGTACATCTCAATACCATTCCTCTTTTTGAGATTGTATGCCTTGTTCCCTTAGCTTCCCTCTCAACTTGATCCATTTTCCTTTTCATTGTTGGTTTTCCAGGTAGCTTTCTTTTTTTAGGGGGCAATGGTTTGGTGTAATCCACTTCAGGCTACATAGCACTACAGTTCAGTAACCTAATGTTATACTTATAACAACTTGCATACGTTGATGTAGTAAACCATTCTAACACATAGTCCCCAGGGTCTCTATTGAGGCTTGAAATGGCAACATATCCATGAATACAAGGATACCCTGCTAACTGCCATGCCCTGCATCCACATTGCATGGTATTAAGGTCTACAACATATCCATCAGACCCTACCCTCACCTCAAATTACATATAACCAGAAGGTACCACTTGTCAAAACCTATCCATAATCACATATAATTTAGAAAATATTAAAAATGTCAAACATATAAGGAATAACAATTTACCTTTGTTGTTCCTTCAGCTTGTTCAACTTCAACCTTATACAATGACATATGTTTACATCCCAAGATTGACCCTTGCTCTTGTAGATACAAAACCTTTCCGTTACATAAATCCGAATTTCTTCTAACATGGTAATTAGTGGTTTCTTCCTAGCAGCTTCAATCACTGAGTTAAAACTTTCAGAAACATCATGTAACGCCCGTAGATCCGGGCTAGTCAATTTAGAGGCAATAGAGGTCGAAAACGACTTTTCGACAAAATATTATTAAGAATAAATAATCTCAACCAAGTTTTATTATATGTTACAAGGTTTCCGTACATATAAAGAGCGTCAAAATCCGAGTTATAACGAAGAAGTTATGACCCGTCGAAGTTTCGCGACGGAACCGACACGATACCGGGGGGCATAAATAGTGAATTTACGATAGAGCGAGATTTAGCCTTAGCGATCTAAACGAAATTTATAGTATATGTTAAACCGATAGTGTGCATAAAAAGAACATCCAAATCTGACTTCGTATGAGGAAGTTATGATTTTTCTAAGATTTAGCATAACAGTGCACAACCCGAAATCTGAATTTTAGATCGGTCGATTTTTAGATAAATAATTTAAATGATAAATGAAGATATCGTTAATAGGAGTTAAACGATAAAAAGACAGTCGAAAACGGAGCTTGTATGCGAAAGATATGGACGAAGCTTAGTCCTACTCTTCGAGCGTTGCGAATTCGATACCGTTTTGTAAATCTGAGATAGAGTGAGAATTAGCCAACGAGGCCTAAATTAAAGTTGAAGATCTCATTAATAGGAACTCAACGGTAAAAAGACAGACAAAAACGGAGCTCCTATGCGAAAGTTATGGACGAAGCTTAGTCTCTACTTTTCGAGCGCGACAAATTCGATACAGTTTTGTAAATCCGAGATAGAATGAGAATTAGCCAACGAGGTCTAAATGAAAGTTGAAGATCTCATTAATAGGAACTTAACGGTAAAAGGACAGACAAAAACGGAGCTCGTATGCAAAAGTTACGGACGAAGCTTTGAGACTACTTTACTATACAATTCCTATAAATAAGATATGAACTCTTCATAATTTCCTCACACCTTCAAACCTTTCTTTCTCTCTCTAACTTCTCTCAAACCTCCCTAAACCCCTCCCAAGTCTAGGTAACCTCCGTATCACGAGAAGAAAGCCCCGGAGCACCCGACGGCTCCGAGAAGAAAAGCTTTCGGCTCGGAAACGCTGCTCTAGCGAAGCCCAGTTTTTAATAAAAAACCTGCTATAAGTGAGTTACGCCTATACTATATTTAATATAGCTTTTATTTAATTATAGTAACATTATTAGGACCTTAAAATAATTATTTGAGCTATTATTATGAGTTATATTGAGTGTTATTTAACGCTTATATGATAGTAATAATTGCTAGACTATTAATTAGTCGCGATTAACGTTAAAACTAAACTCTAGTGGTATTTGGTCAAGGAAAAATTGTTTTGAGATAACGAAGTGCTGTTCAAGTATCGAGTCACCACCTAATCAAGTGAGTGCATAGTTACTTTCAGCTTTGACATAGATATGAAGTATCTTATATAAATTACGTGCTATGTGTGTATATTATCTAAATACTTGATATCTATGTTGGATGAACGTTTTATACATGTTTTCAATGATTTAAATTGTATATGTATTTTATATCTACAAAATGTGTTGGGTAAAACATGGGTAGATGTAATAGTTGATGTGTGACAAAATAAAATAATGAGAGGCCTCGTTATAGATGTTATTGATGATCCAGTTATCTAGCGGAGTATAGATGACGACCGCGGACTACTCTAGACAGTCCAGTGGAACACTAGCAGGCTCGCAACCTGTAGGTGTTTATTTGAACTGTGTGCTCACCAGATGTACTCCATCCCCCACATGGTTGCCTTAAGGACAATTATTGCTGAGGAATCCCCTTAGCAGTAGTGTCCATCCCGATGATAGTCGTTAGACTAGGTCCCTTGTGTTAGATGTTTTAGGGACGTAAAGTGAGGATAACGGGAACGGGTAATCGGGTTTGTTTGATTTGATAAAGTTAATAAACTTATTTATTGTGGGTTGAAAACCCTATGTGCTCACCAGGCTCCCAAGCCTGAGTTTCTTGTATTACATGTAGTGGCGCATGAGCATAAATGTGATGTCTTGGGATGAGAGATTAATGGATTTTAGGCCTGTAAATACGGAATAATGTAGTAAGGCCTATATTGTATTGTTTATGCTTATGATCTGTATCGAACATGACATCCCGAGTCTTTTTAATGAAATACATTTCTACGGAAATGCTTTTGATAAATCTTTATCATATATTGTTTTGGGATAAATTCCGCAACACTTTTATTTAAAATATTACTCTGATTTTTAAACAAAGCATAAACAAAATCGGTCTTTTCTGGCCGTGAAAATGAGGATGTCACGCACCATTTTCATATGAATCATAACTCCTATCAACCTGAAAAAAATGCTTTACACCAGGTTTTAAGGTCCCTTTCCATCAAATGTTCATAAGCTAGTAGTTCCAGCTTCTTGATTTCATTCATATGGTACTCAAATTTTTGTTGAATTATAGATCCAACAGCTCTCCAAAACAGCTTCCTATTAAATCTTTTCTAGAAATTAGCACAGATGTGCCTAGCACATTGCCTATGCTCTGTAGCTGGAACCCTTTCCTTCACAACTTCAATTAATCCCTATAAAAAATACATACAAAGCATAAGCTAAAACATATTAAGTATGGGAAATATCGATAAGTAAGGTTTGAACATTACTTTGTGTTGGTCTGATATGATGGTTAGTCATTCCCTACTCCCATTCCAATGTCATCAATCAGAAGATCAAGAACCCACTTCCATGTTTCTTTATTTTCCATTGTAACCACAACCCATGCAATAGGGTATATGTGGTTGTTTGCATCCCTCCTAATGTCTACAAGCAACTGACCTCTGCATATGTCATTTAAGAAACAACCATCTACTCTAATTACCCTCCTACAACCCTTCATCCATCCTTCCTTCAAACCATTTAAACACACATAAAACTTTAAGAAGTATGTTTATCCCTTAGGCATCACATCTACCTCCATCTTAACTATTGATCCAGGATTTGTCCTTTTTATCTCTTCTCCATTACTCCATGTTTTGGCCTAATGCTCTATTAAAGCACCTTCTATCCGCTGAAATGCATATTTCCTAGCATTTATGCATTGTCCAACACTTGCTATTAGGTTTAACCTTTTATTAACCTTAGCTTTCAATTTCCTAATGCTCATCTTTGGTTTCTGCAATATCTCATTCATGCAATGAGTTCCAATCCATTTGTAGCTTACAATGGACCTAAATTTGAATACTCTTGAATAATTATGCCTATCAATTAAGGACTTAATCTGAAAAGACCTCTCATTCTTCATCCAGGTTGCCCACAACCTAAAGGGATGACTCTTATTCTTCTTATTCTTCTTATGTTTACAACATTTTGCCAACAGCTTTTGATGATCAGTTTTTTCATACCACAAATCATACCTATTCTTGACGGCATAGTTGGTTAGACATAGCTTCAATTCCATTGGGTTGGAAAACTTCATACCTAGAACTAGGACCATTTTATCCCATTCTTGATTCTCATCAAAGACAGGGAACACAACATCATCATCTTCATCACTGACTTCATCATTATCATCATTTATTTCTTCTTGATTACTATTAGGAATGGGTTTACCACACTTGTTAAAAAATTCATCATCAACTATTTTGTCAAAAGTATGCACCTCTTCATCAGGTTCATGCTCACATTCCATTATATCTGAAATATGTGAGTCTGTATCAATATCTTCTAGCATCTCACACACCTCATCACCTGTTAACACCTCCTTATCGGCCTAAGTCAAGAATAGGTTCATTTTGGTGGTCAATGTAGACATTCGTTCTTAGACATGTAACCATCTTCAATAAACTCAAAATTGATGCAACATCATTGTTGATTTTTCTAATACCCTCTGCTAATCTTTCATGACTACTACAATAATACAAATTATCACAGCTTCCTCTTGTTAGCTTTGTAACTCACAACACAAATTCTCTATAGTTCATGTCACCAAAATCCACATCAAGAACTGGCATTCTTATAGGGTCTAAGTACACTAACAGGTTTGGTGCAAACATTACATTGTAGTGAAAATCTACAGTGAGATATGTACCGTTAGGTGATTCCATTGTAGTTAAAATCTACAATCGACGATTTCAAGTCCCAACTTCAATTCCAAACAATGAGCTCCTACTGCTTCGATCGAGTGATTTATAAGAAAAGTTAATTAATTGGGAATGATTTGGGAGTATTTGTTAAGAACCCTAATTGAATGAGGTCGATTCCCCCTAATTAAATGAAGTCGATTCCGAACAAAGGGTGTAATGAACACGTCATATGTCATGTAATTTCTTTTAATGAGTTAATTTGAGTCACCGGTTAAAACAGACATTAGCCAGTAATATATGTGTAAAGTGAACACGTAAAACAAGTTAGTTGGCTTTATATGTATATAAAAAAAAGTTGTCAATATGTGAACAAGGATAACAAGTAGTTACTCTCCTAAATCATTATCCCTTTAATTTATAAAGGTTAAATATATGTTCATATTCTTATTTTATTTTTATACAAACATGTAAAATAATTATTTATTCAGATCCGGACATTGTATTTATTGCAAAAAAACAGTATTTATATCAACATCAAATATATGATTATAATAACAAAGAAAAAATCAAAAACAAATTATTTCGGACAAAATACTAATTTTAAGTTTAATTCATTATAAAGTGAATCATAAAGACTAAAACCAAACTATAATCGTCTGGTTGACAGTTTGAGGATGGAATGGTTAGGAAAAAAGAGTTATACTCGTAGTTTAATTTTAAGACTACCACCCTAATTTTGTCCAAGTTACATGAGTCATTTCACTTAATCAAATTTCCTAATATGAATTAACAATTCGTAACATAATCAGAAAAGAAAAGTAGAATTTTAGCATAGTAGTCTAGTTATCAAATATATTATTAATGATTGATGACATCTAATCGTAACCAAAAATGACTATAAAATACCAAGCCCAAACTAAAAAAACTACATGGTTAATCAGATCATTTCTTCTTCTTTTTGAGTAGCCATTCGAACACTTTCACGATCGCGTCTAAAAACCCGATACAAAGGCGTGTAAAACAAGCAACACAAACCAAAAGGAACCGCCATCATCGAAAAAAGCCCTCTTGAAAGCGCTAAAGCTTCTCTTGTGGACCCCACAACTGGGTCCACAGATTTCGGGTCATACCCATAAATCTGTTCTGCTAAAATCCCAACCATGGGAGCAGCAAAAGACGAAAATGACCCTTCAAAGGCCCGATCAAACGCGTAAATCATCGTCCGATGTTTGGCGGGGACCACTTCGGCAAACATCGGTGCATTGGCTGCGGTTCCATTCCAACTTATTGTAAGGCCCATAAGGAGAAGGGTAATAGCGTAAATTAAGTAGCTGTCGACCGATTGTGGGATTACACGTAGGAGAAAGAAAGTATACGGGATTCCCATAATAGCACTGAATTGGGCACACATGATTCGACCCGTATGAGGGTAAATTTGGGATAAACGATCCGCTATGATTCCACCCAAGAGTGATCCGAAAGAACACCCGGCTCCAAATAGGCTCAAAAGGGTTGCAGCTTGTTTGTGGTCAAAACCTAAAAATGAAAATAAAGATTAGGTTTATTAAAGATCTTGGAAAAATGCACCATGGTTAGATGCAAAGTGCATACATGCTCACCGATTAGTTCGAACCACATGGTGAAGAACACCATAGCGGTCCATGGGAGCGAACCAACAAGACCTTGTAAGACAATGATTTGAAACGTTTGGACTTTCATCACGGCTTTCATCGCGGTCCATGACTCGGTCCAAATCGACCCCGAACTTGAATCGCATCCGCGTTCAATTAGTTCGTTCCTATAATAAAAAAAAATTCAAAACCATTAAGACTATGTTTGCTACACCAGACAGACAATACTTGTACTGGACAAACTTTTCAGGGTCTTTTGTACAGAGATCGAAAACGAATCATTGTCTTACCTTCTTCCACCTTTTCACGTGAAGCAAAAAAACTGTAACTTATTGAATCAGTCCCATCTTAAATGCAATACAATTTGTTACGTACTGTCTCGTCAACAAACGGGTAGGACCCGTTTGTTATGGAAAACAACACAAGACATGACATAACATAAGATATTGTATTGCATTTGGTGTGCATTGGATCGAGACTAAATTCAATAAGACCGATTTTTATTTTATCTAAAAAGATGAAAAATGCAAAACAATGGACATATACAAAAGACATAAATACCCTTATATTGGACATGTAATAAGAAACCTAACCAAACAGAATCTAAGAAAGATTTGGTTACCTTTCTAGATAATGCTCTCCTCCATCACGATCAATGGAAGTTAACCTTTTCGGATCAACAACAAACACGAAAACAAGAAACCCAATCAAGCAACTTAACGCCGCCATCAAAACAAAAGCACACCGCCATCCGGGCACCCCCCAAAACTCATGACCGGCCATAATTGTCGCCACCACACCACCACCGATGCCACCCACCATCCCAACAAGACTCAAGAACCCAAACCCTGTTCCCCTCACACTATCACTATATGTATCAGCTATAAACGACTGGAGTGCAGGAATCACAATCGCCAATCCAAATCCATTTACAGCTCTCCAAAAAGCAACCTGACTGAAATAATGACTACCACCAACAGCGCCGGTGGATAACGCCCAGCATAGTGTCCCCATTGCAAGAACTGTGGGCCGATCGTAGGTTAAAACCAGGATTCCGGCGATCGGAGACGCCAGACCTTGAACGAAGTTTCTGATAAACGTGAGGTAGCCCAGATCAGAAGGTCCGGCGTTGAACGCTTCACTGACTTCTTTGTATACAGATGGAAGAAGATTTTCATCGGCTCGCTCCATTATCGAAGCCAAATTGATGATAATCAGAGAAAGAGAGATCCCAAAAAGTCTTCGTGTCCTGTAGGGAAAATAGAAAGTTCTAACCATATCACTCAACAGTTGATTTTTGAATGTCTGTGTCAGAAATTAGAACAAAAACGAGACTAATTTGAAGTTTTGAAGTACAAAATGAATCAAACAACAAGAACGAGTCAACTTTAATCGATCAAAAGGGGGATTAAAATGAAAGATAATTAAACATAGCAAAGATGAAATAGGGAAATAATCGAAACTTACTTCATCGTTCGCAGATTCGATTTAGGAAACAAGAGTTTAGATCGATTGATGACGATATTACGTAATCTCATCCCCGTGCTAAAAGATCAAAACTCTGATTAAATTCCAGATCCGAAGATAGTACTGCGTCTCCTCCTGCAATGAAATTGATCCACCAAACCTTCCCATCGTGTTGCCCCACTAATTTTTCAAACACCCACCAAAATTGAATATGCAAATCACGTACACAAACTACAAATCCTGGAAATCGATTGAACAAAATGGAAATTTTAAAAATTTGGATTTGGTGGGATTTGGTGAGAGTTCAACGTTTGACCCGGTAAAGATTCTAAATCGATTAATTACAAACTTGATTGTGTTTAGAAATTTGATACGCCGGTTTATCAAAAAAATATCTGGTGAATCTTCATATGATATTGTGATTAGATTAGATTGAAACTAACTTGATCTTTGACTTTTTTGGAAACTTTTCTTTCAGTTTTCTTGGTGGCCTCTATTTTGGTAACCACGATCTACGTATATCGATACGATCCACGTGGGGAATCTTTTTTATTTATGGGCGGAGGTAATTTATCATTTAAATTAGGGCACAAATTAATTAAGGACAAAATTTAAAAAATGGTCCCTTGGTTTTTGAAAAGTGGCAAGGTGAGACTAATTTTTAGAAACATTTCATAACTGCCCTTAGGGTTTTAAAAAATGGCATGGATTGTATTTGCTAACATTCCGTCTGTTACTTTTTAAAAAATGACCATTATGCCCCAAAATAACCATTTTTGAAAGATATTTTTCTAATCTTCAACACCACCATGCACCACCACTACCATCCACCATCAACCACCAACCACCAACAATAAATACGATTGATTTTCCCATCATATTTGCCATGAGGTATATTATAGATTATAGATTGGCTTCAATTTTGTGAAGATTTCCATCGATATCATCTTCCACCATCAATGATAATTATATCAATGTTAGTGTTTCACCCCACCATCGACCGACATCCACCACCACTAAAAACAAATCCAAAATTTTATATACAATATTTTTAATCCTTTAAAATAAAATACAAATACAAAAACAATGAAACTTCATCCTTGATAATCTTTTTTTAATGAAATAACCAAAATGAAAAACACAAAACATGCAACTTTAATTAGCCTTTACACACATCTTAGAGACCTTTGCCAAGTAGACTTGACAATGGAGAGGATTTGGAGCAAATCAACGTTGATCCAAAACCTTTTAACAAATTTAAAAATACGATCCAAATCCGCTCCATAACCCATATGATTTTGAATAATTAAACTCATAGCCATATCACAGAGTCAACAAATATCCAAACCCGACCTGTAACCCGTAGAGTTTTTGACTAATCAAACAATTTATTTAATTCTTAAAATAAAATTTCTTAAATAAAAAAGTCTAATATAGCTTAATATTTATATATAATATTTCTTAACAAATGTTGATTTAGAAAAGCCATTACTTACTCGAAGACTTTTGATTTGGAATTAAAATTCACTATTGCAAGAACTTCTGATTAA